TTTTTATAATAGACCAACATGGCCAGAAAATAATTTCTATTCAAAGTTGAGCGGTAAGTGAAAGTTGTGTGTTGCGTGCACCAGATTTTTTCTCTTAGAAAGCTCATTTCACAGCTGAAATATCATTTATATTGTAGAATACAATTTTTTTTCACAAGCTACGACCCTCGGGACTTGCGTGGTGCTCAACGCGACCCACGTTACTTAATTATATCATTCTTTCAAAAATCGCAAGTGTATAACCAAATAATCTAATAAAGCTATTAGAAATTTTTATGTTATGTTTTCTATCTATAAATTTACTGTTACATTTCATATTGTGTAATATAAATATCATGTATCGCCTAAAATAAACCGTAAGAGGTTGAGGAGTTCCCTTTCTCCCCATTGTTCGAAATAAACTTAATTCTAATAACTGGAGTAAACAAAAATTAATAAAATCAGATCACCCTACTTGCATGAGTTAAAAAATAGAACCTTTCTTCTTAATTTGGAAAATAGTTGAATTTAAAAAATGCACCTATTAAAAAAATACTACAACAATTTTATGTCTTGTGTTGCAGCCTGTTCATCTAGCAACTTATTCACTTTTGTTTTGGACCACTAGATAGTAAGAAATACGTTTAATAGGCTGTATCAAATATTATAGTTACTAAATTACTGTCCACTTGACCCAAATACTTGCCAAATATGAAATCTCGCTCCGTGCATTTAGTTTTATGTATTTTTTTATATATGTGTTGAGGACAATGCTTTGGGAAATATAAACAGGTTTGACTTCAAAATGAATAAACCACAAACAAAAAAATTAGTCCTTTGAAAGAATGAGATTAGAAATTACTTCAAAAAAAAAAAAAAGATATATGTAACTTATTTGAGCGTCTTCAGCACTAATCTTATCATTTTATTCATATATAATCTTATCAATTATTCATATTCATTTATTCATACACCATTTATCTAACCTGAAGCACAGGTTATTTTTGGTTGATTTGTTCGGTTATGTTAGTATGGTTTTTGGATATTTCGGACAATTTCAAAATTATTATCTATTTATTTCAAGATTATTATTATTGTTCTAAGATCTCGATGCCCATTAAAGTTCCTTTTGAGACTCTAGGAGACTGAGTTCCGTTTAACAAGCCCATCCATGTATCTGATATAGGGATTTTTTATCGAATCACAATAACTGCCAGTTGAAATTGCTATTATAAAATAGTAAAACCAATTTTAACTGTAATATTTGTTTTTCATTTATCATTTGTTAATGATATATTGGAATTTACTATCATATTCACAATACCTCTAGTCCGATAAATGTAAATTAAATACATACATATTTGAAACATAAAAATTCTTTATATCTTCGATACAAATACTAATAACTGTCGAATCTGAAAAGCACCACTCCAAAATCATTATCAATTCAGCCCAAACAACGAGGATGTTTTAATTACCACACAAATATCTGCTTTTATGAATGTTTGAAGATTTTGTGTTCGCTCTTTACAAATATTTAATTACAATTACAAGTTAAACTTTTTTTTTTTTATTTAAATTTCTTTATTGAGTATTATAACAATCTGTCTGTTGGACATTGGTTATAGTGAGGTAGGATGACATTCACACCATATGTACAAAAAAATAAAATAAATAGAACAAAATAATAATCAAAAGTATATACAATAGACAATAAAATAAAATAACCTAAAAAATAAGAAAATTAAAACTAAGGAAAAAAAAAATAATAACATGCATACCTATATACAATCAGGCGAGGGAACTCCAGGAGAACCCCGCGCTACTCTTCCAACCGCGTCACTGGTACTAAAGCCAGCGGAGATTGGTCGAGAGCACTTTAGCCACATACACACATGTCTTGAGTGAAGAATCTGGCCATTGCCAGAACTCCAATTTATATAATCTACAAAAGGTCGCGAGGCCACTGCCGTTTCAACCTTCTTGGAGGATCATAGGGATGGGAGATGCTTGATAGGGATTGTGCAAGAGGATTTGGGTGGTAAGTAAGGTTCTGGTGAAATTTGGAGAATTTTTCTGGGATAAGGTCTAGGACAAATGGGATGTTAAGGTCATGATGTAAGGTTTTGTTGGATACATAGAAAGGAGCATCGACTATTGTTCGAAGGACTTTAGACTGGAGGGATTGGATGCGCTTGATGTTAGAAAATTTTGCTGATCCCCACAGTTCTAGTCCGTAAGTCCAAATAGGTTCCTCCTAACCGATCCATATCCAATGCCCAATTCAGTTCTTTCCTCGACTCCTTAGGACATCACTTCATCTTGGGTGCAGACCTAAATGCCAAGCACCAACAATGCTGTTCCAGAACCACGAATTCTCGTGGCCGAACCCTGCTGTCTGCACTCAATTCCCAACGTTTTCATCTCCTTTCCCCCAACTCTCCTACCTACTGGCCCACAGATCCCAACCGTAATCCTGATCTTCTTGATTTCTTTATCCACAGCGGCTTAAGTCCCCTCAATTGTTCCATTACACGTCTAAATGAACTTTCCTCTGACCATAGTCCTCTAATCCTTAATGTTTCACTTGAACCTGTTCCCAAACCTTCTCCACCGTCATTCATTAGGGGCCCAGTAAACTGGGACCTTTTCCGCCAAATAATCTCCGATAATATTGATCTCAACATATCCCTCAAAACTCCCGATGACCTTGATAGTGCCGTAAATTCCTTTACTACCACAATCCAACAAGCCGCCTGGACTGCCTCCTTTCCAAAAGACTCCTCCAGAATTCCTATAAAGGCCATTCTACCCCAACACCTCCTTAACCTAATCCACACCAAACGCCGTGCCAGATTATTATGGCAACGTACCCGACATCCTACCGACCGCTGCTCCTATAATTACTACTACAAACAATTAAAACTGGAATTAGCCACCTTCAGATCACAATCCTTCAACTCCTACCTATCCTCCCTCTCTTCTCGCGACAATTCCCTTTGGAAAGCCACAACAAAAATCCTAAATCCTCACCGCATTTCCCATCCTCTCCGACGAGGTGATGGCTCCTGGGCAGCATCTGACGAAGATAAAGCTGAGGAGTTCGCCATTCACCTATCCAATACATTTATTTCACATCCGGAATTCCATCCTGCCCACACCGTAACAGTAGAAGAACTCCTTACATCACCAATCCCACTTTCCTTGCCCCCAAAAGCTATTCATCCTTCCGAAGTAAAATTTCAATTAAAAAAACTAATCCTCCGTAAAGCTCCTGGACATGATCTCCTTACACCTCAAATCCTTCGACAACTTCCATCCAAAGCAGTCATATTCCTTACATATATCTACAATTGTATCCTACGCACCACCCACTTCCCTCTGTTATGGAAACACTCCACTATTATCCTTTTCCCAAAACCAGGAAAACCTCTCAATAGCTCAACATCCTATAGACCAATCAGCCTACTCCCAAACCTTTCAAAAATTTTTGAAAAGATCCTTTTGAAACGAATCCAACCCATTATAGAATCCCAAAATATCCCTTCCCATCAGTTTGGTTTTCGCTCTCAACATTCTACTGTTCAACAAGGACTCCGAGTTGTTGATCATATTTCCTCAGCCCTAGAAAACAAGGAATACTGTTCGGGTGCCTTTCTGGACATTGCACAGGCATTTGACCGGGTATGGCACTCCGGACTGCTCTCCAAGCTTAAAATCCATTTACCTCAGTCCTTGTACCTAGTCCTCCGATCCTACCTCTCTGACCGCTCCTTTCGAGTTCGCTGTGGAACAGAATTTTCCAATATCTACAAGTTAAACTAAAGTTAAAGATTGACAATGTTTCATATCGATAGTTAGCATCTGTATCGGCGATATTTAAAGTAACTCAGTAACTCCTTGTTGTACAAAATAACAAGCCATACCCGTTTTTGCAAATTAAGATTGGAGTCGGATCCAACACTGATTCAGCTTATGAAGCTCATTTCAGAATCGTTATTTCGCTCAGTAGGAAGTCCCTTCGATATGTCGGATATTGGGCCGAAAAGAACGTTTAGAAGCTATAGCGATTATTCTAGTGTTGTACCCGAAATTGTTATTCAAATAAACTAATCAATCAGTGATATTTTTTTTTCCATGCGAGAATCATGGGCACAAACGAGACCTAGGTGCCCGGATTCCGAAGGGGACTACAAGGTTTTACTTTTGAATTTATAAATTTACATTAAAATAAAATATATATAACATTATATTTATTATAAAATGATTACGTAACGTTTTACATAATATTGTTATTGCTTATTATAAACGTAGAGTTAGGGTTTCGGTGGTAAATTTAATATTTAACAGGTGTCCAAAAAAGTTATCGTTGGAGCTCTGTTTCCCTTCACAGCCCTGCTAAAAAATACAAACGTTAATACTACCAGTATTCTGGATGTGAATACATTCTGTAGCATACATGTGATAAGCATACATTATTCTGTCGGCTTGCAGTTTTAATTTTAGCTAAGCTAGAACTATAAAATTCATCTATGAATTATAATTTGTATCAATGGGTTTATGATCATTTTATTATTATTATTATTATATATTTTTTTAGTATTTTTACGTGAACATTCCGGAGAACTAAGATCATGAGAGAAGAGTGTATTCATTCACCCCGACGATCATGCCGGATCGTAAAAATACACTTGTAGTTAATCCGACATATCTTGGACAGTATAAAAATACTGTACAAGATATGTCACATTAACTACTCGATGAACAATTATAAATAATATAAATGCAAGAGAGTAATTTGGAAGAGTTTTTAATACTAAAGATATGAATTAAATCTACTTAATATCTACATAAAATAGACTCAGTTTCTAACACACACACACACCCATATATATAAACATTTCTACATGTTTATAACCTTTAATACGATATGACAGAATACATCAAACGATCAGTTGTTAAATTGTAAAATTTAATTAATATACAAATAGTAAGCGACCAGGAAGATCAAACATCAATAAATGTCGAACGTTTGGCAGGTAGGCCTGTACGTTCTCTTTGCCAGTTCTAATTTTATATTTCTTCCCATATTAGTTTCCGCATTGAACCAAAAGAACAGAATACGGGTTTGTTTACAATTAATATTAATTATTATTTTAAAACTGTATTAAATAATTACAACCAATAAATATACACAAATCAGGAATAATGACATGAACAGCCTTGTTGAGATACAATCCAATGGTAGCACCTACCAAATTACAGTCCGAGGCCTGAAAAGATGGTTAGGGGCTTGAAAAACGCCTAGGAGGATTATCAAGAATCTAGGACAAAGCGAAATTGGATACAAGTGAATTCTGATTTGATAGAGTTTATCAATAATCGAATCAGCGATATATGGATCGTTTAGGTCTTTATGAATATTATTTGTGACAAAATATGGAGCATTAAGGATTTCAGATTGTAAGAATTGGATACGATAGAAATTCTATGGTTTAGTGGAGCTGCAAATCTCAATTCTGTATAGGTCTTATTATAGTAATGTAAATGAGTCGTTTGTAATTAACTGGAAGTTTTAAGCGTTAGTCTAATAATTTCAAGAACAGCCCCGGAAACGTCGAACAGCTTCGTGTTATTATGTCGTTATACATTTATATATGATATATATATATATAAAACCTGTACCACTACAACCCATGAAGGGTCTTGGGCTCAGTGTCATTTAGGGAGAGCACTGTTTCTTTGTCTACTCTTGTGCAAGGAGGTGATTTGACCGAGATCACGCTCAACCGCTAGGTTTTTCACGTTAATCAATTATTTTAATTTAAGGGTAAATACTTTATAGAGGCTGTGTGTGGGAACCTAAGCTCATTATCCTACCACTGAGCTACCCCACTTCCTATATATATATATATATATATATATATATATATATATATATATATATATATATATATATATCAATCCTATATATGTATTCAGGGTGTTCTGTAAGCAGAGGACCAAAGCAGCTGAGACTACGCTTACCACAATCACTGGTATTAGATTTAATTAAAAAAATAAACTTTATAACATTTAGTTATCCGTTCCATTTCTGAATGGGGCAAATGTCATAATCATTGGGGTAGGTCAGTTTGGTTCGGTCTGACACCTTTAATATAACTTACAATTTAAATAACACTAATATTACAAATAATATACGTTTCTCTCATCATATACAAAAAAGAAATAACATTATGACTTTGTTTTTAATACCACGTGTTTTATTTTCGTCCTGTAAGATAGGTTCATTAAAGGCAATTAAAACAATAATTGATTCTTCTGAAATTGTAGAAGCCATGCTATATATGTCTTCGAGTTTTCTTATTTTACATTATTTCTCATATTAGTTTAGAAATGGTATTGAAACACATTAAATGTGTATGCATTCATTTTTTAAATTGAAATTGAAAAATTAAGAATATTAAAATATAAGAAAAAAAAATATATACATAAATTATTGGTTAATGTTAAAGAATTATTTCACGTTTAATTCAGTTATATATTTGGTTACAGTTTAAGATACCATGTATAAAAAAACTAGGTTAGATACACTCTGGTTATATTATTTTATATTAGTTTATTAATTCCAAAAAAACTATTAAATCTAGTCAAGATGTGCTTGAAGGACACACTCAATAAAGTTAGAATCGGTCATAATCCGTCGGAAAACTTTGAGGTTCGCTCGGGTTTAAAACTGGGGGTTCCCTTTCGCCTGTACTGTTCAATTTGGCATTAGAACATGCCATTAAGGAGGTAATGCGTACCGAGAAAGGGTTGGATCTGGGTGGGATAACATCCGTGCTGGGCTATGCTGATGATCTGGTACTGTTAAGCGAAGACGTTGAAACTATAAAACTAAATAGGACAACGTTAATGAAAGCCGGTAAAGAACTAGGACTCGAAATAAACGTGGATAAAACAAAATATATGGTTAGCTGCAAAAATGGCGATATTACTGGTGATATCGATATAGATGGTAATATGTTTGAACAGGTTGATAAATTTAGGTATCTAGGTTCCACGATAACTAGAAAAAACGTAATTGAAGAAGGGATTAAGGTTAGACTGAAGGCGGGAAATGCTTGTTATTTTTCTGTGACAAAACTGCTCAGTTCGCGCCTCTTGTTCCGGAACTTAAAGATTAGAATCTATAAAACAATTATCTTGCCTACAGTTCTTTATGGATGCGAAACTTGGCCGCTTACATTAAGGGATGAGCAGCGTCTTAAGGTTTTTGAAAATAAAGTATTGCGTAGAATATTCGGACCGAAGAAGGATGGGTTAACCGGAGAGTTCAGACGGTTACACAACGCCGAATTGCGTGAACTGTATCCGGATAATATAATTGAGGTAATTTCGTAGCGGCGAATCAAATGGGCTTGTAAAGTTGTTGGGCTTAGTAACGAGAGAATTCCTAAAAGATTAATATTTGCTGTGGCGAATGGTAAGCGTCCGAGGGGTAGACCGAAGCGAAGGTGGGAAGATTGCATTAAAGCCGATCTGAAGGGACTGGGTTTGGACGGCGAACGGTGGAGGGAGGTGTGTAATAAGCGATTGGTGGTGTCGGCATCGGACCTCCGGGTTCGCTAAGCCTTTTATTATTATTATATTAGTTTATAAAAATGTTTTTTCTTAAAAAACTGGAATAAGTATTTTTATTTTCTTGTTTGAGGGCTAGACAGTAGCTAAAGAAGCATAGCGAACTTATTGGTGGTCCCATGTGATGACAGGTTCCAAAGATATGTCTAGTGGTCAAGGCACTGTTATAGCTACTTTATCTTGGTCAAGGGTAGTCTTCAGATAGGTACCCTCTACCAGGAGTGCCCATCCTTCCTCCCCCCTAATGTCAATGGCGCAGGAAACCTCCTCCCACTACCAAGATATTTTATTGCTCATATTTTCTTAAAAACGGAGCAATCGAAGTTAAAATTAGAAAAATCATAGATCGTTCATAATTACACTTTCTGCGGTCTGTTCTACGTCTTCTCCTTGTCCCTTAGTATGAACCTTTTCATTCCAAAAATTCAAAATCCTGACAAAGTGTGCCCCCCCCTCAAAAATTAAGAAAATCGGCAAAATATGCCTCCCTCAATAACTTTGAAGGCGCAAGTTGCTCCATGAAACCGCCTTCCGGGCACCCAGTGGGCTGTCCCAGTCTATCTAGCGGGACAAAAGTCAAAATATGAATAGTGAATTTTTTTTTTTTTTTTTTTTATGAAAAATGTTATTAAACTTGTGTTTATACATTGATGTAACTAGAAACAGAAGAATTAGTCGGAAAAATACGAATAATTATGAATTTTGTTTATGGAAAATGGTATTAAACATGTGTTTATACATCGGTGTAATTAGAAACAGAAGAATTAGTCAGAAAAAATACAAATATTAATTTGACGACAAACATCGAAAATTGAGAGACAGTTTTAATCCGTATATCTAAAAATTTTCACTAACGTGGCAAAAGAATTTTACTATTGCATTTTTATCATTATATATATAATTTTCAAACCGCTATTTATTTGATCAAATAAATTGCTGTTATTCCAAGAACACAACAGGGTATCACTCTTTGAACATTTCAAATGTTTTTGCTATTGTAATTTTTTTTTATCATATCATAAAATTGAAACTTATTTAAATGCATCATTTAAAACAGACACAAGCGAATATTTAGTTATATATAATATTCTTAAAATTAGGGTCTATTAATTTAGATCGTTACCGCTAAATATTATTTAGAACGCCAGCTTAGTTTGCAACCATGTGTTTTTACAATATTTTATGCAATTTAAATTGGACACTGATTCCTTTTCATTTTTTTGTGGGAGTTAGTTTGATTTTCTATTAAAAAAAACAAAAAAAAAACAAAAAAAAACGAATTCGTATTTCTAACTTAATACTGTGATAAATATGCTGAGGAGTTGCGTTTTCATGATCTTTGAAATTTTCAAAAATTCAAATGTTTACATCCTTCAGTCTCTAATTTCAATATTTTTATTGATAACATTTCTTATAAAACGATTGTTAAATAAATAATGAAACAAATGAATACTTCTAGTTCAGCTTTTTAAAATCAATATTTGTTTTTTATTTATATACAGAATATCGCTTTCACTATTACTCTACAATTTATTGGTGACTTGCGCCATTCACTCCTTTTACACCTTGTCACTTTGCACCATGTGTTCTCCTTCTTCAAAGTTTATTACGGTCTCCTAAGCCCGTCGGGCAGATATAGAATAGGTATCGGCACATCCTTAAGGAGATATCAGATTCACCAGAGGCAATTCCATCCACAACAAGAAGAACAGATTGGCAAACGGCCCGGTATCAAAGATGGTAAGAACAGCTGCTAATAGAATTGAAGGGATTCCTTGGAATTCGCCGTAAACTGACATCGAGTTCTTTCACTCCTTATTTAATAACGGCGGTGGAAAAATGAAAAACTATGGACAAAACAAAGCGAAAATTACTACTCACCCAACAAGCTCGTCGTTTCGTTCTTTTCTTTGCTGATGGTTCGGGAGAACTTCTATTTCGTTTGTAGAAATTAAATAAGGCGAAATAGATATATTTACTTAAAATACATATATTCATTAAACCGAATATTTCTCTCAATTTTTCAATACATAAATTTAAAAATAATTAGTTCATAAATAATACAGACTCAAGATTATCTGTTGAGTTTGGAAGAGATAAGAACTCGTTCGAGTACTTGTATTGTTTCAAAAGAGATGTACTTAAGGTATCTTAACAATTCCAAACATTGATTGAATAACCATCATGAAATCATTATTAAATATTTTTTTTTTTTTTATGTTTTCATTTAATCCACAAAGGAATTCATAAATCATTAAAACGAATAAAAGTTTTATTTTGGTCTAGTATTCCATCACTAAACAAAACACGCCCGATTATGTGATCTATTGAAAATAATTCAATTAGAACAACAATGGTATGTAAGAATAGACTATGTAAACAAAGATTATTTAATCATAATAATTGAAAAAAAAAAATCAAGGTATGAATTTATTCAGTATATTCATCCCATGAAGAAACAAAAAATAAAAATGAAATTCATATATAATGTTAACATTTAATATGAATGAAGATAAAACAAAACTTAAGCAAATAAATGTTAATAGACAACATTTCATATCATTATTTAATGAATATAATATATTTGTATCCTCTCATTATAGAAATGAATAATTAAAAAGTTAACTACATATATTACTGAATACGAACATGAGGCATTTGATATAACAATTACAAAATTAATAAGCAGAATGGAAATACATTAAATGAGGCTTCAAAAGGTGATATTGGAATCAATATTATGCGCTAAATTCTCGAATTGTTATTCAAATCAATTATAATAAAACTACATAAATTACTAAAAATTCAATTTTAAAATGGAATAGTACTGGCTGGATGATTTTTTTCCTCACAAAAGTGTTAGTTTTTAATTATTTATTTTTAAATACAATAATTTCCAAGGGAGCTCACTGATTGACAGCCCTTATTTTGACAGTCTTTGATAAATAAATATAGCATTATTTATTTAGATATATACAAAATTATTTTAACTACAAAAAATGGTGCTAAACAAATTATATATGCACACTTAAACATTGACTTGAAATATAAAATAAATTAAATTAAACCGCGAAAATATCACCGATTATGATTAATATAATAATGATGTACAAGTTTATATCGATTTATACACTTATTTCTATAACACATGATATGCAATAAACTTAATTATATATCCATAAAATAGTAGGTTCAATATGAAGTTCCAAGTTTACAAAACCGATGCAAGAAAAATAAAACGTTTTCTTCATTTTTTTAAATTATTTAATTTAATTTATTGTTTACACCGAATTTCCAGGTTACTTCATTATATGCATTTTTGTTTTACTTGATTAGTGACGAAGTTTATAAGTGATCTATCTTTCAACTTTATTTTTGAATTGTTGTGTAGTCACAATAAGTAGGGTTGTGTTTGTAATAATATAGTAATTACATACTTAAATTAAACTCACGGATATGCATAAGCTCTATCGAAGATGATTCCAAGGTGGAACTTACTAGACTAATTCTCCCGTTCCTGCCAACACTATCACTCTGGGATCTCTAGATCTGGATGTAGTCCCGATTCACGTGAATGCCACACCCGCCTTATCAACAACTGAATAAATAAATAGATGAAAACTGACCTTGATAAATTGATAAGACTTCGACTCGGCAAGGAGCTGCCACAATGACACATACCCTACAACGCCTGTCCCGTCCAATACTGGCCCCCTCTCTGCCCTCAACGGGACGGTGCCAGCGTCGGCGATAGTCGACTACATCCGATCTTTCACGAACCTTCCGCGAACGGTAAGAGGACGACGCGAATCGCTCAGGACACAGTTTCACACACCGACTTCGTCTGTATTATAGCTACAGCTCACCGAAGTCAAGGCTGAGGTACATAATGCAAGTACATATAATAGCAGTATGACTAATATTTCTTTCTATAAGATAATTATCACATCAAGAAACGTTAATACAAGGAGATCGTCTGTATTACACTCGATAAGTAAACAGAAATCGTACTAAGTGTAAAAAATATAACACCTTACTACACTCTTCCCCTTGAACGAAAATCAAATTCCATCAATATTACATTACGGAATTGCAGAACATTCGCAAGACCTGATGTAGTATAAATTAATCAGAATATAAATCTGTATACAAGCAACTTCAAATCAAAGTATAAACTCTGATTGTGGAAAAAAATAAAATAAAACGTGCTGAAAATAACTGAATGATTCGGTATTTAGCACAGATCTTAATTAGTTATTATTTGAGCAAAACTAAGACACCACTCACTATCGCCATTTAACAGCATTAATTTTTTTTTTTACGACAAATATAAAAACGCTACAATTTATTATTACACAATGGTTTATTATTTCCAAAATTGGTAAAACCGCAGTTCTCGGCACCATATTTATATATGCATAACTACACAATTTAAAAACAATTGGCTATCTAATAAAACAAAAATAACTTAATACAAATCGTAATAATATCTACAGTGATTTATATAATAATATGCAAACACTAAGAGAAATAAAAATAAAATCTCAGGATTAGTTGTACAGGAAAAAAAGAACTGTATATACATACATACTCATATGGTTCACAGAAAGATAAAAAGTATAACCTAGATAAATTAAAATAAATAAATAAAACAATAATATAAGAAGATAACAAAAGTAATAACAGAAAGGCATTGGTTTAGATGTTTAAAAACACAAAGTAGGCTAAATTAATAAACGAGCACTATAAAATACTATGTTAGCAGTCAAACAAAAAATCTTCTCAATCGTAAGTATAGTTGAAATGGAAAATAAAATACATACACGAATATTATTAATATTATTATTTAGTTGTTATAAGGAAGCTAAAATATTTTTGTTCCATTTTCAATCGCGCGGCTAATCAGTTAAACTATTTAGATAATATCAAAACGGTGCATATTTGTAATTTCAAAATACATATTCGAAACATCGTCTTTTATTAATTTTCTTTAAGTATAACGTAAATTATTTCTGTTTTTTTGGAACCATTTATCCAGATTTGGCACTCTGAATTACTAGCATTTGGCATTCTTCAAAACGAAAGGACTTCAATGCAATTATGGACAAATTGTTAGAACGTAGATTGGTTAGACACAAAGACAAATACTTGAATATCTAGAAACTGTACGTATTCCGAAAGGGAATAAATATACATTTTTGCGCCCCTCTTTGGTTTCATTTCTATGTTTCAAATATTTTCCAAAAATCAATTTGCCAAAAATGTCCACAAATATAGATCAAAGGCATTTAATCATTTTTTTAAAATATCTGGTAGGAGAATCGAATGAAAAACACTGTATAAATTGTTCCACGAGCTTTTTAGTTACCGATTCGTCCGGTTTTTAACTTTCCACCTTTGTTTATCCTTCCTTGTATTATTAGAAGAAACGCATCTGTTGTTTACAGAATATGTGTTGCCTTTTGATGAAGTTAATATATATATTCTCTTTACCGTACGAATCACTGATATGATAAGTCATGTGAATATTGTGCCATTCAATGTAAAGGGTGGTGTGCTTTGTGATATCATTTTCATACAGGAAAGAAATTAAAAATTAAATGAAGTAATGAAATTTAAAAAATGTTTCCACTGTCCTTCCACCCTGATTTCTAACGTCTAATTCTCCATATTTTAGAGACCAACAGTAGGATTTCCTCAGTAAACTGTAAATAGATATAAATTAGCAATGAGTTACGTGACAAAAATCAAACACCAAACTATACATTGGGTTGTCAAATAAGTCCTTTCGGTTCTTCAGGGAACAATAAAACGTAATTTATTATAGACATAAAATTTATTTTAATCTACAATATATTGACCATTATTTAATTTGACTTTTTTCCACCTTTTCCACTAACTGCATAATGCCATGTTCATAGAATGTCTGGAGATTATTGTTAAAAAACTGATCCAAGTTGTTTTTGATGTCCTCTTCCTTTTTCAATTTCTTTCCATTCATGAAGTTCTGCAGATACCGGAATAAGTGGTAGTCGCTTGGGGCTAGGCTTGGTGAATAAGGAAGGTGGGGCAGAAGGTCCCGTTCGAGGCTCAATAATTCATTGCGAGTGACTAATGAGGTGTGGGACCCAGCGTTGTCTTAGTGAAACACAACACCCTTCCGAACATTTATAACTCTTCAGGATGTCCTCCGAATTCGGTGTTACTATATTCGTTATAAATCTGAATTTTTATTCTCCAGAGCCGTATGAATGTTTTTTTTTATTTTATGCCATTAAATAAACAAAAGCTCCTTATAGGTTTTTATTTTTTATCTCCATTTGTAGTTTGTTTACTAAGGTCCTGATGATGTCATTTTGTGTAGTTTATGTGACCCTAAATCTCTTGTATATCGCTAAATTCGTTTGAAATTATAACATTTTTTGTGATTTTCGAAAAAAAAAAAATCATATGAGGGATCCAAACATTAAGCCTGGAAACATAGCCGAGTTTGTGTAAATGATTTTCTACGCTTGTGTGCGACACATTTAAGGTCATAGCAATCTCTCGCATTGATTGGATGTGATTTTGATCAACATTAGTACTTTGTACACTTTGTGTATTCTTATAAGAAAAAACTTCCTTCGATTTCAGGAACTTTAATAAATTTACTTCATCTCCTTTGAAAATCTGTTCAGGATAGCAAAGAATATTGAAACAGCCGGACGGCTTGAAAATTCCGTCAGTCGAGAATTGCCAAAGGAGTTTTTTTATGTATTGCAGCTTTTAAAAATTCCCCAACACTTTCCAATAGATAAAGTCTTGCTGTCAGAAACCAACCTTTCTTTTTTCTCAGTGAAGTAACAGGAATCTGTTTTAAGTTTTATAAATGATTTGCAATTCAATATTAGAAACATTTTAAGAAATACCGTAGACCTATTGGGCAGATCCAGAATCTTTTTTAACAGAAATTTTTTTGAACAACATTTCATACATTATTTAAAAAATAGTATGTAACCACTAAAAAATAAACAGAAAAAGAAAACAAAAACAAAAATAAATCAACATAAGATCTTCTCAGAATTACTTATTACTGGGATAAAAAAAAAAAAAAATGAAATTACATATTTATATATGCATAACTACACAATTTAAAGATAATTGGCTAACTAATAAAAAAAAATAACTTAATACAAAATGTAATAGTATCTATAGTGATTTATATAATAATGTGCAAACACTAAGAGAAATAAAAATAAAATCTCAGGATAACTTGTACAGGAGAAAAAGAACTGTATATACATACATACTCATATGGTTCACAGAAAGACAAAAAGTATAACCTGGATAAATAAATAAAACAATAATATAATAAGATCACAAAAGTAATAACAGAAAGGCATTGGTTTAGATGTTAAAATATACAAAGTAGGCTAAATTAATAAACGAGCACTATAAAATTCTATGTTAACAGTTAAACAAAAAATCTTCTCAAGCGTGATTATAATTGAAATGGAAAAATAAAATACATACACGAATATTATCAATATTATTATTTAGTTGTTATTTTACTTGATCCTCGCGCGGGCTCATTACCGCGTATGGGGAGCGTCCCACGGGTGGCGGATGTGGGGATGGTCGGTGGAAATTTCTTGGAAGTTCCTCCCGGCTAAGTCCGATGGACTCGCTGACCAACAATGACAGTGGCCCTCCAGACTTGCTGGAGGGAGGGGACCTCCAGACTTGCTGGAGGGAGGGGACCTCCAGACTTGCTGGAGGTAGGGGCCCACCAGACTTGCTGGAGGGTGTGACGTAGGATTGAACGCCCTACTCACATATCTTTAGTTCACCAAACACCACAAATAGTCATGGATCTCCCTAAGGTAAAACGCTCATTATCCGGAAGTAAACTAGTCCCCCGTTCGGGTCTCCGGGTGGGGACTGCTTTAGGGGATTCATGGCGCAAGTTCAAATATAGAGACTTAAATATTGGTACGTGGAACGTAAGAAGTTTAAACACAGCAGGGAGGCTAAAATCGGTCGCGAATGAGGTGAATGGGTACAATTTGGATGTCGTGGCTCTGCAAGAGGCTCGCTGGCCAGGGGAGGGCTCGATGAGGGAAGGAAAGTACACTATTTGGTACGGAGGAAGCAGGAATCATTGTTTAGGTACCGGGTTTCTAATTAGGAGTAGATTACTATCCGCTTTGAGGGACGTACAATTCTTTAGTGATAGAATTTCGGTAGCTACATTTCAGGGACGTTGGTTTAAAATCGCATTAATAAAATACATTGTCCGACCGAAGACAGTGACGATGAAGTCAAAAGTGAATTTTACGATAAATTCGAATGGGTTTATGATAAACTACCGCGAAACTACATGAAAATAATTGTAGGTGACGCGAACGCAAAGGTAGGAAGGGAAGAAGTTTATATTCCGACGATTGGTAAAGAAAGTTTGCACGAATATAGTAATGATAATGGGATCCGTCTGATAAACTTTGCCATCTCGAAAAACTTGATAATTAAAAGTACGACGTTTAAACATAAGGATATTCATAAATATACTTGGACATCACCGGATTCGCAAACACGAAATCAAATCGATCATGTCTTGATACAACACAGCTTGCAAAGCAGTATAATTAATTTACGGTCTTATCGTGGAGCAGAATGTGGGTCGGATCATGAATTAGTAATCGCGAAACTTCGACAAAAACTTAATATAAAAAAGAGAAAAGAAAACCGTTTCGATTTTGAGAATTTTAATTTGGAAAAATTAAAAAATCCATCAATTAGAAACCAATTCGAGCTAGATGTTAAGAATAGGTTTGAAGCTTTAGAGCTTCCTGACCAGGACCACGAGGATATTGACA